TAAAGTTCAGCATATGCTTAAGAAACTTTCCCTCCCCTGTATTCGGATGACAGATTTTATGAGCAACAAAAAGAATTTTGCAATTTTACAACTAGTTCAGATTCACCTGAGTTTGTCAGGAAAAAAAGCAAAGAAATCAAACCCAAGTTAAAAATCGTAATAACTGCCAAAAAGAGCCGCAGAGGATTTTCAAATCAAATGTTTGGAATTAGAATTCAGATTATAAGTGCAATTACTTAACAAAATGCCTCTGATAATTTTGAAAGTCCCATAACTTTTATCTTTCTGCTGTACGAATAAATTTAAAAGAAAAAGGCATTTAAAATACTTCTGTCCTTACAAAATTTGTAAGCTGAAAGCTTTCTTCAATAAGCAGAGGTTATTAAACAAGTAAATATATTAATATTTCAAAGAACATCAAAATAAGTACTAACAGGATTGCTGCCAAGAGAAGAAAATAGCTCTCTGATTCAGTTCGTGTCATTGATAGCCTGATCAGAACATGCAGCTATTGTTTCAGCCTGTTTTCCTTACCTTGGAGCGAAACAGGGGTTTTCTCCCTCTGCGATAATGATTTTTGACAGTTTCACTGTTTATATGTGAAACTGAGAAACTGTTAATTGAAATAAAAAATGAGTCACTGTTTCCAGCAATTTTTGCCAATGTTTTGATCTGTGTCAATCTGAGCTTAATTATTAAGTTTTCTTTAAAGCAAGAGGCAAAATTGTATATTTGAACTTGGCCCCATACAAATACTGCACTCTTCAGACGTATGTCAGTTTAAGGATATAAAGTGCAGCTAAATAGGGTTGAAAGTATATTTAATGACCATGCACAAGAGACCTATGGTAAAAATAACTCAAATGAGAAAATACATCGGGGTTTTTTTGAGAAGGATATGAGAAGTCTTTAAAGCCTTTCAGCAGATGTGATTAACCATGATATATGGTCTGTCGCTAATGATGCTGCCAAAGTCAACGTCTATTGGCTGTGAGACGGAAATCATTTGGAAAGCCAACTGCGTGTCATAGGCAAAGGGCAGGTTTTGCACCCCATAGCCAACCACGCATTCCTCTGGTGTCTCCTGTGTAAATAATGCATCTGCTCTCATAAACATGCTCAGTTATTGAGTGGAAATTCCACTGTGATTTTAACATAAATGGACAAACTGGACTCAGCAGAAATACATGAAGTCACCAATAGGCTCTGAGATAGCAGAAGTGCAAGGGAAGACTTTCCCACCCATTTGTTGGGACTGGGGTGTATATGTACATGAGAAGGAAGCGGGGCAGGGTGAAAAGAAGCTTTATATCCACAAAGGAAAAATGCTAAACCAAAAAATTTTCCTCCTGGGGTGCATGAAGTAGCTGAGAACTGTTGTAGAAACCTGTCTCAAGAAGGCATTTGCATGGCAACTTTAAATGGCTCTACAAAAAGCATATCTAGCTTATATAGCGATTCTCTCTATGTAGGAATAAGCTAAAAATCCATTAATAAACAAAATTGGATTAATATATGGCAAAATATTTTTTTAAAGATACAATTATTTGTACAGAAGACACAGCACAAACTTTAGTAAGTTGTGTGCCAGTGTCATCATTGGACTTGGGAGGAAAGCAGCTTTCCTATGTCATAATTATTTTTTTTTTTAATTTTTCCAAATCAGGATAGATCCGAAACCTTTAAGAAACTGTTCACAAAACAAGAGGCAGACAGCCCCACTCCTGAATGCTTTCGCGGCTCTTAGAGGTGGAAGCACTCTTCTAGGGAGTGGAAAGCTCGGCTTCAAGCCCCTGCAAATCAGACAGGGTGAGGTGCAAAGGTCTGCTTTTCCCTCCTCTTCCCTGTTTCCTTTCGGATTCATGTACCATAAGGCAGCGCAAAGACATATGAACTGAGAAAGAGAAGAAGTTGGCTAAGCGAGTGGAGATGGTGGTGGTCTTAGTCACAAGAGCTTGCTCCTGTCAGAAGAGGAGAGCCCCCATTTCTCCATGCTTTCATTCTCTGCTTCTGGACCACATGCACTTGTACTACCTCCAGAGTCTGCACGGCCCCTGGTGAGCTGGTCCAGAGGAAAACTGAGGCTGGGTCAGAGATGCCCAGAGGTTGCTTGGGAGAATCACACTCAACTTCTTGTCTAGCTTCTCCTGTAAAGGGTTTGCCCAGCTCCCCTAGGTGATTGTTTCCCTGCTTGACCTTGCTACATATTTTCCAGTATAAATCTACATCTCTCATGAGGAAAACTGAGCCCATCACTCTTGGTCCTACCCGCGATGGGCATGAAGAACTTCCCCATTGCAATCATCACCGTACCAACCTCTCAAGCCTTTTAAACCTCTCTCATTTTCCTTTTCTCTCCAGATGCAACAACACATTCAGTCCTGATTTCTATGTCTGTCTTTGGACTGCTTTCCTGTTCATACTTTCTTGCTGTTTGTGCTCTCCTTTTCTGGACATGGTCCAAATTATCTGCACCTGTCAAAATGAGGTGCCCTAAATCAGAGACAGAGGGCCAGCCAAAACCTCATCGATTCAAGTGGAGCAGCATAGTTACTTATCCCAGGTCTGTCTTACACACAATATTCCTGTTAATACTGTCCCAGAATGCCACAAGCTTTTTCTATTAAAGCATCATCATAGTGCTGACTTGTACTTATTTAACATCCACTCTGAGAACAAAATGCCCCAAACTAGGGAAATAAGTATATTAAATAACCCCCATCTAAAAACTGTTCACTTCAACAAAGCATCGTTTCACCAGGTCACTCATACTAAATCCCTCTTAGGACAGCAATAATACAGCTGGAACAACCAGCTTATAGTTGTTAAAAGTGTTTAAATTAATTAAAAGACCAGCAAGGATGTTTCATGTATCCCAAAGGAATTTTGTAGCCCACTGGCTGTCAAATGAAAATGAGGACTTATAACCACTTGCCATAATGGACAAATCCACTGTGAAAGCTAAAGCCTAAAAGTGAGGACAAAGTGTAAGTTTTCCATCAGTGCTGTCTTGCATGGGCATTTTGTGTTTTATTCAAAGACAAACTATTGACCAGCTATGGAAAATAAACTTTTTCTTTCATCATTCTAAAAGCAGCTTAACACATATATTTCTAACTAAGAGACAGTTACAGGGATTATATATGAAAACCGTGTGCACCAAAGACATTTTTCTAGCTAAATGAATCCAGGAATTGCTTGTACTGATACCCTGAGACCTCTTCCGTCAACCAAGCGGGTTATAGAGCTGAAGAATATCTTCATGAAAAACAGACCAGAGGACAATCTCGGTGCCAATGAGTAAGAGGAACTGGAACATCAAATAAATCTTTTCTCTCTCTTTTCTCTGAAAAATAACAACTGAGATGGAAGGGTTCTTTTGGTAGTAGGACAGCCAGGTACACATAGCAGCTCCTGGGGGTGTGCTGGGGGGCCTGAGGGAGGACATGTAGCTTCCAGTGAGCTGTCACGTGGCAGCGGCAGACAAGAAAGGGATGTCTGCCTCTTAAACAAATAGGTAAAGAATGTTTTCATGCATGCTGTACGTAGCTCAATGTGCATTTAAAGAATTTCATGTGTATTTGTGGCAACTTATACTATAAATATACAACAATAAAACTTTGACACCATACTACCATATCAGATACTCAGCACAGCTTCTGACAAATACGTACATTGAAGGCAGGTACTAGAACCACTTCCTTGGGACAAGAGGAACTTCTTACCATACGCCCAGCAGGTTGTGCTTTTAGGGAAAACCAAATATTCATTAGCCAGGTGTTTTTCTTCTGTTTAAAAGTCTATCTATCCTTCTCTGCTGCCCTCCCCCACCTCCTCCCCCATCTACCCATGAAACCGTTTCCTTAATTAATAGGAATTTAACCAACTAGTCAGCTACAGTTGATGCTATAGTTTTGTCCCGTTGTACCTCATTGGCTGCTTTTGCTGTGTTGTTCCCCAGCACTGTTTAGGCCTTCTCTCATAGGTATTGCAACTTAAAGCTATTGATTGCTTGCACAGGGAATATTACAAAACTTTTAGTGGGGAAATTTCACCCCCAAAAATTATTTTCTGAAGTTGCCACAAATCAGCCAACAACTTGAGGCATTAGCATCCCCAGAACCCCGCATTGTTTGTTTAACATCCGAGCCCAGAAGGGCTTCTGCTGTGCTCCCGACTTCCCTGCAGGCGCACAGTGCTGACCACCCCTCTTGGAGGCAGGTCCCCACCACTAAACAATCAGTGCCACCAAGCTGTCTGCCCTGTGCTGAAAATCCACCGTGCTCAGACAGTTATCATCATAAAAGTCCTTGCAATTGAAGCTGCTTAATACAATTCAAACTCCTTGACCAAAACAAGAGAGCAGGAAAAAAAAAAGCTTCTCCAGCAAGCTAACTCTTTACTAACTCTTGGTTAAGCTTGTTTGAAATTCCTTCATCATCTTGAGTCACAGCTAACTTAAGTTCTCTCTGCGTTTACCACCACATTTTTCACTTTACAAAGAGAAGCACAACACACTGCAATTGCAGTGGAGTAAACAATAAATGACAATATCTAAAATACAGTAATGAATTGAAGAGAACATGAAGGCAATTTAGCAATTGCTTAATGAGTTCAAGGAGGAGACTTTTGACATCCTCAAGCACACATAACAATAGACTTCAAGATCTTTTGTACTCTAATGGGAATTACCAAAAAATGTATTGCATTATAAAGCATAAAAGGATAGTTCACCTATTATAAAGTAATGCAGACCATGCTACAGGCAGACCTCATTACAGTACTTTTTACAGTATGCTAACAAGGAAATTTCCATGCTCGTTACTGCAGGGTTACATCTTCACTATCAAAAAATAAAGAAGTATGCAGATTTGTATACCACAACATTCAGTATTCTCAAATAATCCTCTGCCTACAGGCAGGCTCTTGAGCTTTGTGACAGCAATGACTGAAGGTGACACACTGTGACCAGTCACTGACGGACTTTCTTTTCTCCTCAGCACACAGCTGTATTACCATTTGCTGTCCTGGAAATCCTTGCCACACCGCATCGTTACCCAGCAAAGAAGAAGGGATTGATCCTTTTGGGATTTGTTTCTTTTCTGTATATCAGTTGGTAAGAATTATGTACTTTAAAACATTTTCTTCCAGTGATCTACTTTGTAAACCAAGGCCAAATGCTGTACTTAGATTTAAGTTCCCTCCCAGGCACACGGGAGACAGAAGTCTGTTCTGTGGAGAAGAAATTTAAACTTCAGCTGAGAAGCATGAAAACTATCTCCAAATGTAGGCAGAGCAGGTTTCTCCAAGCACAATACAGGCCCTGAGACTATACATAGTATCTCCTGCTCTTCTAAGGCCTCTTATAGAAAAGCAACTAAATTGCCATAAATTCCGGGGTACTTTGAGTTATTTCTGCTGCGCTGGAGTTTTTATTTCTATCAGTACCTTCAAATTTACCTTCACTCTCTGTCTCGCTCACTGTAAAAACACCAAACCTCAAAGGTCTGGGGGTCACCGTGCAGAAGAGGAGTTAAACTCCATTTGGTATTTGTCAGGGACACATGGCTGGGTTTAGAAACTTGAGTCAGAAAATGATACTCAGAGCCAGGTGCAAACTGACGGGTAGCAAGGAGGCATCTGCCCCACTACCACTTCCCACTCCACCAGTGTACACTGCCTACATTTCCAGCAACGTGCCACAGTTGATCTCCAACCTGTTGGAGGGTGATCCTGGGAGAATAAACTATATCTGACCACCCCCTCCAGCCCATAGCCATCCACCCACCTCCTATGTGCATCACGCACCCCTGGGGCTGAGTTTGCATCCGCTCCTGCTCATTGCATCCTGGCTGCAGTACCAGGGTCTGGATGCACTGCCCACTCCATCTAACTATGGGCAGCTGCCAACACTTCAAACCACTCTGAGTACACCTTATGTTGAATCTCCGCTCAGGAACAGGTCCATACAGTTTCAGGGTATGCTGTGATATCACTTTCCAGAGCTCTAGGGTGGAGGATACAGAACAACTGGTCAGCAGAGAGGTAACGTCCCCATGCAAAGACTTCTGAGAAGTCACTGAGACTATGAGGGAATCCATCCTTCCCATTCCTACCCACCAGTTCTCACTCTCAGCTAGAGACTACCTTCAGCCCACCAAATGAAAATCTGGAATACAGAATAAACTGCACAGATGAAATGCTCTTGTGACTTGAAACCCATCAGAGCGGCTGTAGAAGCAATGGACTTCACTGCTACACTACATAACCAAGTTAGGAGCCATTTATCCTAATCCAGCCCAGAGCCTAATAGGATTATGACCACGGCTTCCTAAATTCCTTTTCTATGTTCTGGTTCACTCAGTTGCTTAACACCAGCTTTTTTTTTTTGGTTGTCTTCTGACAGCATTTGATTTTTACTGTCTTTGACACCAGACAGCACTCCATGCAACTATTGCAGTCACATGTGCCATGCTTTCCCCTAAAGCCCCTATCAGCTGAGCAATTTCACCCCACAGGAGACACGGCTCATGCCAGGACCTGGATCCTCATCAAAGAATAAGGATCAACACATCTGAGCTCTCCCAGTATCTTCTTTGAATTGATGTTGCATGCTGCTGCCAGGGGTCCTGAGTGGAAGGTGGTCCTTAGAGCACTTGTGGCCTGCGTCCCAGAGCTCTGATAACTGGATAAATGACATTAGTATTTCAGTACTGTCGCTTTCTCTCCTCCCGAAGCAGCAAGGGACCTCCCGTCTGCTTTCTTTTTCCCTCATTGTCTTGGTTCCCTGCAACCACAGAAAACAGCTTTCAACTAACAGAAAAATTTTTTAGCCTGTGCACTGAAATCTTAACACGTGTACATATTTTACTGTCAGTGCTGCAACCTGGTGATTTAATAGCCCCATTTGGGCCCCTTACATTTCACAAGCTACAGAGCCCTTCCTAAAAGCCTCTCCTTGAACTGTCCCCGACATCGCTGTGCTTCCCCTTCCCCGGCATCGACTGGTCCCTGCAAGGCACTAGAGAAACCGAGCAGCCGGTGACACCTGGCACCAGGTACCTGCCTCTGAGCGGGGCTTCGCGATAGCTTGGAATACCCACTGTGTTCAAAAAGGAAATGTGGTTTTCAGTTGCGGGACTCCAGGGCTAGGAGAATCGTTAGGCATTGTTAGTTAATTCCTGCAAGGATGGATCTTGCATCCCCTGGTTGCATTAAGTAATGCCTTACTCCACGAATCATCACATTGAAAACAGTGAAGAACATAGAAGTTTTAGAACTGGCATTTTAAATCTTCAAAAGGAAGTAACAATAGATGGCCCCTTTCCATTTGAGTGATAATAGATAGGTATAAAATAAACCTTAATCTTCACAATTTTGCATGTTTTTTTGACAAAAAGTTCAAACTATATTTGTAAGAGAGATAAATCCTTCTAGATTTTACCCTGTATACAAAACTAAGATACAAAAAAACCCAAAGCAAATTCAATCTAGAGACTGAGGGCTTTCTTGTCATATGTCCATATTCCACCTCTGTTAGGAATCAAAATATTTTTCCTTCACTGCACGCTCATTTTCAGTTCACAACCTTTTAATCTGAATTAACCACAGTCTCAGGGAGCTCATATGCACCCAACACATTTTTTTCTCCTTTATGGATCTTCCTATTTAATAATTCCCTAGAGATACTTACTTTTTTCCCTTCAGTGAATGCAGTGGTTCCATTAACATTAATGAACAGGTAATGAGAGGACAGGATAAATCCTCTAGTTGCATCCGGCTGTACTATGACAGCACATCACCTCTCCCTGGTGTCTATATGCTGACCTCCATTCTATAGCAGTTTGGCAACTTTGGTTATACCCAGGGCTGTTATCTCCCCATAATTCTGGCCATTGACTGCTTCTGACTCACTCACTGATATCCAAGGTAAAATCTTGGTGGAAATTGACATTTTGTAAAATGAAATCTTCAGAATAATAAGCCTCTGCAGCCCGCATATGTATTTAACAGGTGATTATCCGTAAGAAATATCAATGTGCATTTGCAAGTTGTGGGGTGCAATTATGAAATCCGTAGCAAAAAAAACCCTCAAAACTGTTAATTATTCTGTGATCAAAATGAGTAAGCTCAGGAATCTGGAGGTATGCCCCAAGACAAAAAAAACCTGATAGCACATAGCTCCCACCAACTCAGAAAGCTGAAAGTGCTTCAGTGCTTCTGCATAGCCATTTGTTTAGGTTCAAAAATACAGGTTGAAGTGCTTCATATCAGGCACACCGGTTGGTTGAATTGGATCAAGATCTTTGTTATATGAAGTAAATATATTAGTTCTTCATTATATGAAGACAATTTCTGTCACTGTCTGTTTTACACTGAAAAAATAGTAGCCCTATGCAGTGAAGAACGCATGCTGACGTTTGCATGGGCTCCAGTCAGCACCTGGTCTTCAGCATTTCTTCTCAGCTTCTCTGTGGCCATTGGTGCAGTTTGGTTGGTGGTTTTTTTTTGTTTGTTTTTTTTTTAACAAAACAAAACAAAACAAAACCAAACAGACTATTTAGATGTGTCACAGCCCAGTTTGCTTGATGAAAGAACCTATCTTAAAATCATGAAAATGAGTCTCTACACTTAACATTCCCATGCTCAGCCCAGAGAGCTCCCCTGCCACCCCCCTTCCATTTCTCCGCTCTACCCCTTGGGTGAGGATTAGCAAATCTCTCTTCCAGGCAAGGTAAAACCCCTCCTTCTTTATGTCCTACCCCTCCCTGCTCTAACTAGAGAAATGAGAAATCATCTTTTCAGACATGGGTTGTGTTTGGTTTTTTTTTTTTCCTTAGTACTCTCCCATTCCTCAGTTTCCTGACACAGTTTGGGGCTGGTGAGGCAGCCTCTCTGTCACTTCTCTGAGGCGTGATGTTCAAGGGCAGGATGGCAGGCTGGGTGCCTTCAGAGAGAGTGGGACTGCATTCCCGTGTTAGCACTGGTGGTGAAAAGTATGGCATATTCCTCAGATGTGGGGTTTTTTAATAAGGAATTAAACCTTTTAGGACTCTTTGACCCAAAGGTTCTTTTTAGGGAAGTGCTGTCCATTGTTAGAATGGCACGTCCTCATAGCAATCACTGGAGACCTGACCTATTTTTTTATATTGTTTACATTTTCAATGCAAATATATTTAATTTTATCCATAAAAAATATATATTTTCCTCTATTTAATATATAAAGACCATTTTTATATTCTTAAGTCCAGGCATTTGCTACCACTCTCACGAGCCATAAGCAATAAAAATATTATCAGTGAACTGACAGCCACTAATAGACATTTTTTGAGAGAAGAAAAAGGTGGAAAAGGAGAGCCCAAGTAGAAGAAAAGAAGCCTTATAAAGCAGGCATATTAATCCTCTTCCTTCTCCTTCTTTCCCCCTTCCAAACAGTGCTTTGCAAATGGTTCTGGCACAAAGGAGCAAAGCGGCTACATCTGTTTCCTACCTACCTGCTCCTGTCTCCTCCTCCTCTTAGCCCAAGAGAAAAGGTGCCGGAGAATTCCCCTTGCCCTCTCACCTCCTGCAAACCTCTTTCCGTTCCCAAAACAACATTAGGGTGGCAGGATAGGGACAGTGGGGAAACAGCACTTTCTGTCCCCACAGACCCTTAGGATCTGGATAGGGACTGAAAAGCTGTTGTAACTAAAGAGCAAACGCATACGTGAGAGCTTATTTGAATATGCCTCACTTAGTGTAGCCAAGTGCACATCCTATTTCTGAGCATTTTACTATTTTATTGAGTTAATAGCCAATGCCACCAGGGTGACAGCAGAACATGATGTGCATTTCAACCTGCACTGAAACCCATCTCATTTTGCGGCAGCTCAAGTGTGCTTCACAGCAAATAGCCCAAATGCCGAGAAGATGTATTGACAGCTGAGCTAATTTTCTCTGTATCAATATTGTTTTGATAACTCAGCCACTCAGGAGTTAGAAATGATGAAGTGGTTCTTCTGACTGAATGGTCCTAACCAAAGGTCATTTCTCTCCTTGCCCAGGGTCCTGTGGATTTATTCTGTAACAGGAGAGTGGGTATATCCTCTCTTCGCTTTGTTCAGCCCAGCCGGGCTAGCAGCCTTTTTCGCCGGTAGCCTTGCCATCATCATCTCTTTCTACAACTTCGGGGAGTTCCTCAACCGTATGATATGGGGTCAGTCCAAGTTTTGTTTTTCACTTCCATCCATATGAAAAAAAAAAATATCTAAAATGAATTCCTGTGATTTCCTAGGCAGGTGGGGAGAGGAAGGTGGCCCTTCTACACTGCGGGTTGGGGGGTGGTATTTGGATGTCTGATAGAGATTGCCGGGTCCTAACCAGTTATTAACAAACAGAAAACAATTTGGAGCAAGAATCCCAGTCCTAGCAGATAAAAGGCTGGGCCAGGTTTCTCCAACATGGCTCGAGAAGCACCTCTTACCAGCATAATCACTGGATTTTAATTCCTTCGCAAACAAGGGTCCAGAGAAGCTAAATCTCTCTGGATAAAACTCTTACATCTGCATCACGTGGTGTTTCTCAGACTAGGGAACGGCACTGTTTACTGACAATTTATAGGAAGTCATTAGTATATCCAAGTGAAAGCATTGCAGCAGCACTGTGAGTAAAAGAGAACTTCAGGAAGTTTTACAAACTGTTGAGAAGATAGAATCACACAATCATCTAGGTGGTAAGGGAATTTTAAGATCATTGAGTTCAACCATCTACTTAACACTGCCAAAACCACCACTAAACCACATCACTAAGCACCGCATTTCGCCCATCTTTTAAATGCCTCCAGGGATGGTGATTCCACCACTTCCCTGGGCAGCCTGTTCCAATGTTTGATAATCCTTTCGGTGAAGAAATTTTCCCTAGTATACAATCTAAACCTCCCCTGGCACAACATGAGGCCATTTCCTCTTGTCCTGTCGCTTGTTACTTGGGAGAAGAGACTGACCCCCACCTCGCTACAACCTCCCTTCAGGAAGTTGCAGAAAGCCATAAGGTCTCCCCTCAGCCTTCTTTTCTCCAGGCTAAATAACCGCAGTTCCCTCAGCCACTCTTCATAAGACTTGTTCTCCAGATACTTCACCAGCGTCATTGCCCTTCTCTGGACACGCTCCAGCACCTCAATGTCTTTCTTGTAGTGAGGGGCCCAAAACTAGACACAGTACTCGAGGTGGGGCCTCACCAGTGCCAAGTACAGAGGTACAATCACTTCCCTAGTCCTGCCTACCACATTATTCCTGATACAAGCCAGGATGCTGTTGGCCTTCTTGGCCACCTGGGCACACTGCTGGCTCATATTCTGCTGGCTGTCCAGAAACACCCCCAGGTCCTTTTCCACCAGGCAGCTTTCCTGCCACTCTTCTGCAAGCACTGCATGGGGTTGTTGTGACCCAAGTGCAGAACCTGGCATTTGGCCTTGGTCAATCTCATACCATTGGCCTCAGCGCATCCATCCAGCCTGTCCAGATCCCTCTGTAGAGTCATCCTACCCTCAAGCAGTTCAACACTCCCGCCCAACTTGGTGTTGTCTGCAAACTTACTGAGAGTTTAGGTTCCCCTCATCCAGGTCATTGATAAAGACATTAAACAGAACTGGCCCCAGTTACTGGGCCCTGGGGAACACCACTTGTGACCGGCTGCCAAATGGAATTAATTCCATTCACTGCAACTCTCTGGGCCCGGCCTTCCAGCCATTTTTTTACCCAGCAAAGAGTACACCCATCTAAACCATGAGCAGCCAGTTTCTCCAGGAGAATGCTGTGGGAAACAGTGTCAAAGGCTTTACTAAAGTCCAGGTAGACAACATCCACAGCCTTTCCCTTGTCCACTAAGTGGGTCACATTGTCATAGGAGATCAGGTTTGTCAAGCAGGATCTGCCTTTCATAAACCTACTATTACTAGGCCTGATCACCTGGTTGTCCTGCGTGTGCCACGTAATGGCACTCAGGATGATCTGTTCCATGACCTTCCCAGGCACTCAGGTCAGACTGACAGGCCTGTAGTTCCCCAGATCCTCCTTCCAGCCCTTCCTGTGTATGGGCATCATGTTTGCTAACCTCTAGTCAACTGGGACCTCCCTGATTAGTCAGGACTGCTGGTAAATGATGGAAAGTGGCTGGTTGAGCACTTCAGCCATCTTCTCTTCTGCTTTAGTGGTGCTATAATCAGTAATGATTTAAAGAAAATGAAATACAGATTCTTGGACAAATGGGCAGTTAGGAAAAAAAAAAAGTAGTTTAGGAAGACATGTGCAACAGCTAGAAGAAAGAAAGAAGCGATGAAGCAGTTTTGGGGTTTTGGCATGGGATGATGATACTATTATTATTATTATTATTATTATTATTATTATTATTATTCCTTCTCCTCTCTGGTTTCCTCTCTCCTTTTTCATTCAAGATTAAGTTTTTGAGGATGAAAATGTTCCTGTCAGGAAAACGTGTGTATTTTATTTAGGACAAATGTGTGAACATTTGCAATTTCTTAAACTAGCTTTCTGATGAAAGAAAAAGCCCTGGAAAAACACCTCTGAAAATAAATAAGACAACCTCCCTCTGTTCTCTGGGAACATTTGATGCCTGATCCATTTTGTGAAGTCTCACATGCCTGTCAAGCCAAAGTAGAGTGTCTGTAGCTAGTCTCTCACCATCCGTATTCAGTTACCTAAAAGCAGCAGACTGACTTTCAAATGTGCTGAATAACCAACTTCACCGCTTGATACCTTTGCAAATAAGATGCTTGCTCTACATGTCCATGTTTGGAATTTTTGGCTGAATTCTATTCTTGCATAAACATGATATGAGATGAGGATTGCTTGTAAATGAAAACAGATCCACAGTTTTTCTACGCTAGCTCTGGTTTAAGAGGCATCACATAAGTAGTAACTATTACTAATCAAAGACCACATCATCCCTACAAGACAGTATAGGTCTTTAAATGAGATCTGATATCTGATACATCTAGATACCTGATTTTTTCATCACTGAGTACATATTAGTAATTTCAGGCCTAGAGTATGCCTGATGCATACGTTGGAGATAATCAGAATTAAAATAATTTGATTTCCAAGGTGTTAATTGATCAGACAAAAGGTCGTGCCAAGCAGAAATCAAATTAACTGTAAAAATTAGATGCATTTTGAACAGCTGACTAAACGTACTCACTTAAGAAAGAGATGTTAATTTAAGTGATTTCTAAAGAAACCGGGGCAAGCACCCAACTTTCTTTCCTGTGCACACATATAAGCTGAAAAGCACCCCCACTTGCAATAGCATGAATGTAACCTCAGAGAATATATATAAACACGGCATACACGATAGCCCCCATTGATGTCTGGGGTGCCCTTGCAATCCATGGAGGCTCCCTGTGTGTGGTGGGTCTGCCTCTCCATGCACACTTGATATTTTTCAAAGGACCCACAAAATCACAGCCTTAACAATTAGATGGTGTTTTCATCCACGTGCAGAGCACTCTCCCTGAGTTACAGTTTCCCATGTTTGCACAAACCATTCTGACTTCACGTGCATCCTCAGCTCTTCACCTCCAGGACTGGCGGAATTACTGTAGATTTGCTGTACATGGATAAAAGCAGCTGCCAGCTGCACCCCAGTAGCTGGCAACTCTGCAGTATCTGAGGCTGCAGTTTCATAATATGGGGGCTTTGGCGGCAATAACTTCTCAACGAGCTCCTGCCCACCACCCCTCAACTCCTTCCTGCTCCACCACAGATGCCTGTTTCTTGTGAGCAGGGACTGTTTTCAACTCGGATCGTTTTCCCGATCCATTTCTCAGCTGTGTCCACCCAAGAGAAGGGTAAGACTTTCTTATGCTGGTATTGATAACAAGGTCCCAATAAGCATTGCAACACAGCCAGAGGGAAGCTATTCCAAATTACAGTGTACCAGAGTCTTAATATGTTCCTGACTGAGACAAATCTTTGGCTCAGCATCGCCAGAGTAAAAACAGCTGCAAACCAAATGAAGACACGATTCCAACATACCTTTCTGCTTGCAGCAAGAATGGCTCCACATACTATTTTCATCCTCTCCTTTCCTGTCTCACCTTCCCATCACCATAAGGGAGACGATGCAGTTAAAATAACCCTGCAGAAAAGAAACCCCCCCACACAAAGCAAAACAATCTGTGGTGGCAGAGAACAAACCTCTTAATTTCTCCATACCTTCCACCATGCCCACCTCCTCCCTCCCCCAAAAGAAAGGGTACGTGGAAGGGCACTTCTGCCCTCCCTTTTGCTGCCTTCTTTGTCCCCCAAAGCCACAGTCTGAGTTACAGAGTAATGCCATAGGTTTCTACAGGCACGTCTAGAAACGCCTTCTTTAATAACACCTGTAGCCACCAAGCAATTAGACCTGATGCTGGTGGCATCTGCCAAGGCAGAGAGCCCTACCTGGGCTGCTGCAACTAGGCTTTGCCCAAAGGGAGAGGTTCCAGGGCAGCTGCTTCTTTTTTTCCTTTCCTTCCCACTTGAAGTGTGTGCCCAGATAAATTGTGATTATTTGGAGGTACAAGAAGTGATTACCAAATAGCTCCCCATGAGAGGCAAGCCTGGTTTCCTTCTGGACTTACATCCTGTGGCGGACTGTAGGCTGCAAATGAAGCTTGTCCCACAGTATACCATGCTTCATATGGGCTCTCTTCCATGTTCCTTTATAGCTTCAGGCCACTATCACTTTTTTCTAAAACCAGCTGTGTAAATATTTACGCTTTCTCACTATTAAAGGTGTATTTAGCTCCAAGTTATTCCAAAGTCCATGGATGGCAGCTTTCAACTCCGAGCAAGTAATTTTTAAAGCTATGTCCTGTGCTTGACCAAAAAGATGCACTATCATTTCTGAGAGCTGGAAAAGCCAGGCTGTCAAACAACATGACCTTGTTTTTCCTTTTCAGAACAACCAAAAGATGCCAGACCCTACATTTGTTTTATTATTTATAGACAAACTGTTTCATACGGTATTGGAGGTTTTAAAAATGTATTATCTCTCATGTGCCTCTCCCTCCCCTTGCACAGTTGGATTGGTGGTAACTAAGGCAACCCAGCTGCACAGCCTGAGAGGCACAGAAAATAGTACCAGTAATGGCTTTTTTTTTGTTTTAAATCCCAGAGTTTCTAGAGTACTAGACAATGTTGAGCAATACAGAAACTCCAAAGAGGATAACTGGAAACAATGGGCTGATTCTTTTACTGCCATAAATTTACCTCAGCCAAGAATTTGGCTGCAGGGTCCGAGTACCAAAGATGAACCGTGTGACAGCTTCTCCCATTCCTCATGGGTAGAAAACATTACGCAGGCAACTGATCTCACGTTACTTTGAACAGTCAAACTAGAACCCTCAAAAATAAAGCAGGGCAGTTTTTCCTCAGGTTTTGCTCCTGTGTGACAATCAGATCCACAGGAGAAACTCAGATCAAAGTTGTCCACATCAGACGGAGCAACATTTCAGGTGAGGTCTCTTCTCTGGCACCAGCATTTGAAGATGGGGCAGATTCATTTGTCTTCCATCTAACACATCTGAAAAAAAAAAACCCAAACATTTATCAGCTGCTTCATTTCAATACTTTGAAATGCAGGTGGACAGAAGCTATAGCTAGCAACAGCTATGTGCTCCACCAGTGATTTAAATGTCTGCTGAGGGACACTGGGCAAACCACCTGTGAGATTTTTACAGCCACAAGGCCTCTGCCAAGTCCAGACAAATGCTCAATCCCGCACGGTGGAACCACCCTTTGGGAGAGACAAGGGGCAGAAAGGGAGGCTGGCTGCTGGGGTGGGCAGCAGCTCCAACAGGCCCCCGCCTGGATGCTCGCTGTCCTCCAGAAGGGAAAGATGTGGCCAGCAGCTGGTTGAGGAACAGTGGGCAGGGGGCAAAGCCAGAATTAAAGATACTCTAAAGCAAGGGATAAGGCAGTACAACAAGAATGATAGCCATTGTTCTCAGGAAAAAGAAGAAACTTACAGTAGAGTAAATTCCTTGCGCTGAGGGCATGGATGGACGTGCTCCTCCAGATCTTCTGGGAGCTCTTGAATATCTTGCAAAGACATTGCTGAAATTAATTCACCTAAGGCTGTGCTAAAGTTAGATGGCAGTCTTCTCCTTAACTTATTTTTCCTCCTCTTTTTGGAGTACTTTTGCATTAAATGCCTTTTCCAGAAATATATTACATGCATTAGGAACTGATTGTTTTCCCTGGGTTTTATTTTTGTATTTACACGCTTGTGAAGCCAAGCCTCCTTAATACCCTGCAGTCAGCTATTGGGAAACCCAGCCTATGGCAGCGCATGAATCTGTGCGATACAAAGCAATACTATAATACAATTGAATTCTTGATGCTCTCATTCTTCCGAGCAGCTGTTGAGATTGCAGAAACCTGAGTGGCAAATAAAGGGATGCAGAGGACAATTGTGTGGGATACAAAGTCATTCTACTGTTGTACTGGTACAGACTTATGAACAGCAGTTTTAATATGAATGTTAAAATGCTCATGTTCTGCAGGTCGTTATCAAACCAGACACAGGCTCCACTCCACCCTTCGTTATTACAGTGTCCAGGAGGGATTTTTTAAACTGAACCTTCTTTCCAGAAGATATCTTCATTTTTTCTATCATGCCTTTAAAAGCAAAGAATAAGAGTCCAGGGTATATCTATTTCTTTCAGTGAACAAGTAATGTTTATATCTGCAATTTCACTATATTGCCAGTGAGAAACGCAACTCAAATTTAAGAGGATTTACAGCCCAGAGTTTGCAAACTAAATACGAATATTTACTTTTGTCTCATCCATTCATCCTAGTTGTGCCACAAACCTGTGATGGCATATTTATATCCTGCATATTTGTCACTCCCCCAAGCTGCAGTTTACCCCTCGGGTAGAGGAGCCTAGCTATTTAAAGGAAACCTGCACCATCTGTCACACGCCCTACTCTTGCTGACAAGTTTATCTGATGATCCACTGGAGGGAGACCCGATCGGAAGCTCTGGCAATCCAACGCTTACGATTTCATCACTGGAGGCCAGACGCTAACAGGTGCTTGCTAATATGCTGTCCCTGGCCTCACAGGCTAGTCTGGATTTGTGGTGGGTTTTTTTCTCCCTCATCTTTAAAATAACTATTTGATCAGTACAAAATAATTGCAGGATCATTTGGGAAGGAAGAAATACCAGGATTTTGTTCCATATCAGGTCAATTGCCAAATGCTGCGCAGGTTGGAGATAAATAAAATACAGCAATTAGTGTTTCAGAGCCTCTGAGGCCTATGGACAAAGAAAGCACCTTTAAAAGAGGGTTTCCTGTGGGTAAATAATCATCAACAAGGAAAAACAGAGTCTGAGACAGTGCTTTAGATAAGGGTACCCAAATATATTTGGTTGTTGCCACGCTTGGTGCCCCAAGGTAGCACATCTGGTCTCTAGCTAGTGCTTCGGAAAGCTGGGGGCCTTTGGTAGGTCCTCTGCCATCCTGGCCAGACACGTGAGGATGCTCCAGATATCTTAGCTGCAGGACTAATCATTTGCTGCCATTTTCAGATGAGCTTTATTTTAAAGCTTTTCACATATTCTTGCACCAAGCTAGGCTTGTTTGGTGACAGATAGTTTTTTTCCCCACTGGCAAAGCACTGTTATTTTTAAGGGATGTGACCCACAGTAGATTTTATAGAATCACAGAATTGTTTAGGTTGGAAAAGACATTTAAGATTGTCGAGTCCAACCATCAACCTAACACTGCCAAAACCACCACTAGACTATGTCCTTAAGCACCACATCTCCCCATCTTTCAAATGCCTCCAGGGATGGTGATTCCACCACTTCCCTGGGCAGCCTCGTTTCCTCTTGTCCTGTCGCTTGTTACTTGGGAGAAGAGACTGACCCCCACCTCGCTACAATCTCCTTTCAGGAAGTTGCAGAAAGCCATAAGGCCTCCCCTCAGCCTTCTTTTCTCCAGGCTAAATAACCCCAGTACCCTCAGCCACTCTTCATAAGACTTGTTCTCCAGATACTTCACCAGCGTCATTGCCCTTCTCTGGACACACTCCAGCACCTCAATGTCTTTCTTGTAGTGAGGGGCCCAAAACCAGACACAGTACTCGAGGTGGGGCCTCACCAGTGCCAAGTACAGAGGTACAATCACTTCTCTGGTCCTGCTGGCCATGTTATTCCTGATACAAGCCAGGATGCCATTCGCCTTCTTGGCCACCTGGGCACACTGCTGGCTCATATTCTGCTGGCTGTCCACAAACACCCCCAGGTCCTTTTCCACCAGGCAGCTTTTCTGCCACTCTTCCACAAGCCTGTAGCACTGCATGGGGTTGTTGTGACCCAAGTGCAGAACCCGACATTTGGCCTTGGTCAATCTCATACCATTGGCCTCAGTGCATCCATCCAGCCTGTCCAGATCCCTCTGTAGAGCCCTCCTACCCTCAAGCAGATCAACACTCCCGCCCAACTTGGTGTTGTCTGCAAACTTACTGAGGGTACACTCGATCCTCTTGTCCAGGTCATTGATAAAGACATTAAACAGAACTGGCCCCAGCTACTGGGCCCTGGGGAACACCACTTGTGACCAGCCCACAACTGGATTTAACTCCATTCACCACAACTCTTCGGGCCTGGCCATTGAGCCAGGTTTTTATCCCACGAAGAGTATGCTCAAGCCATGAGCAGCCAAAATCATTCCTCGGTAGTCAAGTAATGCCTTACTTGCTAGGGACATCCCAGGCTCATTCAACTTCTGAGCCAGCTGCTAATGCTGAAGTGCTGCAAGCCCTGCACTCATAGCCTACTCCTACTCCCAGACAGGTTCGGATCCCCAGGGATATCAGAAAGCTGGAGTCAGGTTCACATCCTCTTCCCAACAGCGTGCTTGATCTGTGAGAGGGCTTCTTTGTTGTGTCTTTTTTTTTTTTCCCCCAATAACCTCTTCTCCTCTGCCTCCAAACAGGAGATTCAATAGTAATACTGGACTACAGGCGGAAAGGCAAGTGAATCCTCCTCTTCAAGCCAAACAATCTCTCCATGAATGCTGAAGCCATGAAGTAGAGGAAAATAAATGCAGCTGTGATAAATCCTTTCTCCAATGCATTGCAGCTTCTGGTGAAGCCATTATGTCATCAGACATATGGAAAACTGGTGGAAAATATGAAATGTTTGCCTCTTACATGATAACTCTGCAACTGCTATGAATAAGAAAATTGTGTTCATCTGTTTACACAGATTTCTCATCTCTTGCACAATGTACGTGAGGATGTGTCCATGGTTAAAACTCGTCACTGGTAAATGAACTCCCTCATGAGCTTGGCACCACTCTGTAAAGACCTGTGAATGCAAGCCAGCTCTTGTTTGGATCGGCCTTCATCAAGTCTGGAAAAAATTAAGAGGAGGGATAATTTTAACAGTGCTGTGACTTCCAAGCTAGCTAGATAACAAATTGGGCTAACAAGGACCGTAATTAGGAATGTCTGCTCAGAAAGTTCACCATGAAGCCAAGTTCTTCTAACGAGAAACATTCTGGAATATTAATATGCATAATATCTCCCCTCCATTTTAACAGGAAATCTGAGCTCAACACTTTCTTCCCTTTTCTTGGTTTCAGTTAATCTCGCAGCAAAAGTAACCTAATTATACTGACTGTATGATTGCTTTGACAGAAAGCATGTTAATTTAAAGCACTGTTTAACATAAAGCTGCCTGCCATATAATTATACTCCATTCACATGTTTACTAATCTTGCTCAATATAGTTGATTTCTGTTATTAGCCTCAACATCTTGTTAACATCTAAAACACTGGAGGTCTGCTTTGCAAACTCCAATAAACAGGCAAAGCCAACAGTAGAGTAAGCGTTCCTTAATGGTCAACATGAAAAAAGAAAGATCTCTGTTATTAGCCTTGCATTTAAACAAGGATTTGAAACTAGTTGCAGTACTTCAGTGTCTAACTCGATCTTCATCGCCCAAAGCCCTAGCTTAGAGCTACCGTGCGCACAGTGCACGGGGGTGTTATTTTCATCTTTCGAATGCTGCTGGAGCTTAGTAAAAACGAAACACATTGTAAGCCGCCTGTGAGCAATAAAAAAAAAAAAAAAATAAAAAATGTGTATACATAAGATTATTTTTCTCACATGTTAAGCACCTGATAAAATTCTAGCCTGGGAAGTTAACATACTAGGGCTAGACTGTAAACTAAGTTAACTCACTGAAAAATGTGCATGCATTCAATAATTCCCAGCTTATCTGGATAACTCACTCCTGCTAACTTTGCAAGGGGAATGAACGTAAGCAATTACACACATACCCCTCCCTCCTTTTCTGAGGAAGCTAAAGGAGAACATGGAAAGAATTCAGCTGAAAGGTGCTGGGCAAAGGAAATATATCAGAGAGGCAGACAGAAGAAAAATACCAAAGGGAATTAGGGAACATGAAAAAGTTCAGGAGACTCCCTGTATAGGTTTGTTGGGTATTTTTCTCTCTCTTTTTTTTTTATTTATTACTTTATTTTGTACTGATAGTCCAGTGTAAACAGTTTAAATGTCAGAAACTCAAACCAAACCCTGGGCCCTGACACAGAGGGGGCCCAGTTCGTCCCATGTCCAACCAGAGGAGCTGAACGGCAGATCTCGTCCTCGGCTCCTGCTCGCGCCGGGATTACTGTTGGGATTTGGCATGGTGCCTGTGCTGCTGGACTACCGGGGCTTGAAGAGAATCGGGGAGGGGGAAGGAGGTTGTTTCTTTCTTTGAAAAGGGCTCAGAAGAGGCACTGCTCACTGCTACGTCCAGCGCGGAGAGGCTGGATCCCCCGTCACACGCTTTGGGAAAGCGATGAGGAACACCTGTCCCCAAAACACAACCGCTGGGATCTCAGGTTTGCTTTGCTCCTCTCTCTGACGCACACAAAACCCCGTAAGGAAGAAAGCATGCGTCGCTGTTCACAAACCAACATTTTCGCTGTGATTTCAAAAAGGCGTGAGTGAGGTACTCCGCGTAAGGATCTGGCCTTTACCACATTTACACTAGATTTCTCTTTCCAGTCCGTTTCTCTCTCTCTCTCTCATTTTATTTTGAGTAAGTATGCAAAGTCAGTCAGAACTGTTTATTTATAGCTGTAGATTTTCATGGCTGTATAAATTAGATGTTATTACTGAATGAGTTGCCCGCCCACTCACCCAGTGCAGCTGTACAGGAATCCTTTCATGCTGCTCCACGGTACGCAGTCTCAATCGGGAGAAAAATGACATGTTCCCAGTCAGGCGAAGGGCCCACTGCTTAAACCCTCGGGCAAAAAAACAGCAATTAATTTTTCCACAGTACAATGTGCAGTATGACAACCACAATTACCTAATACTATTTAGACCTGCCACTTTTGTTTGGCAGAGAGAGAAAATGAAGGTTTAAACTCACCAGAGCAAAAAACCCACAAGCTAGAACCTACGCCTGCATTTCCTTTTTTACAAGATTAAGTGATTTTTCTTCGGAGGGAATGAGAGGATGGGGACAGCCAGGGGAAGTAAAAGTAGTTGCTATTTGATACAGAGCACTATCAGAAAATATCAGAAGAACCTATCCCATATACACACAGAGAGCGATTTCCAGCAAACAGCTGGAAAGCAATATCCACCACAATTAGGAGCTTTCATCTTAGCTCACACCTTTGTAACAGTTTACTCTTGCAAAAAGCATAGGCGAGCGCTAATTTATTCCCTCCCCAATTTCCCACACAAATTTCTTGGTTTGGGCCTCTGCCAGAGCTTCGGGGTCACAATCTGACCTCAATAACATAATTTAGGATTGTTCCAAGCCTTCAGTGGAACTACTGAAGATTTACTTTGATGGATAAGGGGCCGGGATCTGGCATGCAGAAAACATGCATTTACGTTCTACCAAAGTGTCTAAAATAGTTGCCCAGGGAGGCTGAAATTCAATTTGAGACCTTGTATTCACTTGGCAGAGCACATAATTAAATATTTTGTGCCACAAAATTAACCAGAGAGTCTCAGGGGTATTGGTAAGAGGAGGCTTAGAATCATCCATGAGAGCCAAAGTAAGACCCATTTCCCAGGCAAGTTATTCAGTAAATATTGGAAAAAATCATTGCATTCATATATGGGTTCATATTTTTTGTTAGTATTTAACCTTACTGATTATCTGGTTACCTCAAAGGAAGAGATTATTGGCTGTGTAGATTCATAAGAATAACCTCAATATCAAGTCCTGCTCTTGACCTAAGGCTATTGCTTACAGCTAAGGACCGTTTGTGAGTGAATTAACTGCATGGAAAAAATAGCAGGAAAAACTAGATACAATTACAATAGGCCAGACCTCATGACCAGTGGTCAAAAGCTCCTAAAGTGAAATTTTTGCCTTTTTTTGAAGTCTCTAGAGGCTTTACCCTGCAAGGAGTTCAATGTTTCTGAAGAGCAAGCCAAAATACCTAAGGTGTTTAATGTCAATACACTTCAGCTTAATTTCCACACGTTTGTGTTTCAAAACATGTATTTGAGTAAAACCTCTACGATGTGGCTCAATAATAGTTTTGAGCTATAAAATTTAATAATAATACTTGGTATTTCAATGTCTTCTCCTATCAAATGCTCTCAAAACATTTAGCAAACCTTCAAGCTCCTTTCCCTTTGAGACGGTAATTTCCCTCATTAGCCAGAGAGCAGCACATATATAAGAAAATAACACCTTTTTTATACACCTGAGACAAACAGAACTACCTCCTTTGAGTATGTAGGATGATCTGGTTTTGCTGCCAGTAAGGACTATGTTCCTCAAGAGGGAGAGACAGAAACCTACATTTACCAACACATACCTGCTTTTTGAGATGTTCATTCAGGTTTGTGGCAAGGAACCACCTTGGGACGATGCCATCGCCAGCTGGCAGGTGAAAGGCATGTTTGTCACTTAGTCTACTAAGAGTTCACCTGCCACAACACACCGCCACTTCTGCCTGGGTTTGAAAAAAGCCCAGTTTTTCTGGGATGGAAAGCTCTGCTAGCAGCATTCCCTGGCTCTGACACAGCAGACAGGCGCGCTGCACGGTACGTGCCCACAGGGAAAGGGTCCATCTGCAAAGAGTTCAGGCCCCAGGTTACAAACCCAGTGCTGCAGAGAGAGGGGACTGTCCCCAAGCACCTGTCCTACCAGCTCGGAGGTGACCGTTCCCAGGGCAGGGGCAACTGAGCGGGCACACCTCCCTGCCACGCTGATGGACCTGTCGCCCAGAGGCTTGCAAGGACTTGAGTTGTTCTCGTCCAGGCCCACTGTCCTCAGCCAGTAGCGGGAACTCCCCAAAACGATGGGAAGAGTCTCAGCTCCTGGGTCAGAGGTGGCCCAGGCGGCGGTTGGGTGACAGCCGTGCGCACCGCAGCACAGCCACAGCATCAGTGCTAAAGCTGGCAGTGAGCAGCGTGTCTATAAGAAGAGGGGCTCCACGCTTAAGCATTTCTTTCCATCAGGCTTTTCTTAGATGCTGACAGAGAGGACAGTTTCGGCCACGTGCCTCTGAAAGGGGAAAAAAACCCCAAACACCAACACAATTTAAAGTGGGGGTATGGCTGCCCCCACTCTCTGGGCTCTCATACCCCAGAAAAAAAATAAAATAAAATAAATAAAAAGAAAAAGGCCCAAAATTCAGCAGCTTCGCCCCATCGAAGGTTCTGCCATCTGGGTTATCCCTAATCGATTTCGTTTCCAGCGGGAGGGGCGGGGCGGAGGGGGAGTTCCCGGGCAAACTCCCTCCTCCCCCCACCCCCCCTTTCCCCCGCTTTTTGGGGTCATTTCAGCGTTATACGCGGTTGTAGAAAAGCTGCGGGTGTGGGTTATTTCAACATTAACTGTTACGTTCAGGGATGCTGCAACTCGGGGGGGGGGCGGGGCTTCAGCATTAGAAGCAGTGTTAATTAATTAAGTCATCTCAGCGCACACCACCTGGAGTTTGGCCCCCGATGCGTGAGCATTTTACTCCTCGAGCACGGGTGGAGGCTTT